AGAAAATAAACGTTTTATTTGAATTTTTTTTTCTAGTGCTAGAAATAATGGTACGTCAAGATCAGGGCAATTTATTTGTTTACAATATTACATCTACATCTGTTTGACGTTCTTAGTCGTTTTTTTTTTTTTGCGATATAAACATTCCCTTGATCGGTTTATTTATGAATTCCAAGAAACTGCATGCCGTTAATTAGTCCCATGTCTACAGTATTTTAATTGCTTAAATGACATTCTTCAGATAACCAGTCCAATTCAATTAATTCATTTCAACACAAAGGTTGGGACTCCCCGCGTAAGAAACTTTCACAGGCAGCTTGAGAATGCCTGGGGTCCACAAAAGCGTGACGCCAAAAAGAAACCGTCTGTATGAAAATCGCCCGAGTGCAGCGTTGTCGACGGCAAATGGCGATTCACTTTTAGTAGCTGGCGACGCCAAAATCTACAAAGGGCGTCGGTCCAAACCAGTAAAGAGCTTTCTACACAGGTCCATGTGGTGCCTAGCACTCAACTTCAATCAAACTTACCGGGGATCACTTCTTTTGCGCCCTTTAGTTTCATATGTCAAAATTTTCGGAAGATGAATGTCAGGCTTCATTTAAGGGGCCTGTCACCTATCTCATACCTTGAGAACGTCGCAAGCAAATGTCCAAATCACAAATAGTCCATGTTATAAGGCCAATATTGTGAAATTCTGTTAATAAGTAATTAGTTAAATAAATTCTCTAGTCGACCTGGGTTGGTCTATTAAAATATTTTCGGAAACTTAATTTATTTAAATAAAACAGGCCGAGAGAATGACACTTCTTTATATTATGTATACGTCATTATAGGAGACTTCTCCAGTCTGCGAAGTTCACAAAAAGTTGGTGTACGAATTCCAAACATCCAGCAGTAAACTTGTCACTTCATCTGCTATTCGTGATTCAGCACATTATCAATCATGTTGTGGACCTGCTTCTTCACTAAGCACTCATGCATTATAGTCTGTTACAACAGAAAGTTTTAGAGCGCTGCCACTTCGATGCATGCTCTGAAGCGCGCGCCCGTAGCGGTAGTGGGCATTTCAAAACTATCTACTAAAACTCCCTAATATAAAGGCGGGTTCACACATTTGTAAAGGTTGCGTTCGCATGCAACCGAAATGACAAAAGTGACCAAAACACCGGAACAACCGTGACTCATGGATTACTTCGCGGAGCTACCCCTTGCATTGCTTGCCACGCTGTGTACGGCGAACACTTGTCTTGGTGACTCTGTCGTAGCGGTCGTTTCGGTTGCATGCGAACGCAACCGAAGCCAATGTGTGAACCAGCCTTTAAATGAGCGGTCGAATATCTTACTTGAGCGCGAGCCCTTCCACACCACTCGGTGCACGCGTAGCCAAAGCCCGGCGGCACGCAAGAAGCGCGTGCTGAGGCGAAGCTTGTCCTGCCTTTTATTTATTTATTTTTCTGGAAACTAGTGTTCGTGGGTACGACCGGTGGGCGATGGTACTCCTCCCTGTGCACCAGCGCAGTTGTTTCACCGCCGGAAACCTGGCCGAAATTAACGATGGACGTAATCAGACGCATCTGGTGTTCGTGAAAGTGCTCGTCGATTTAAGTTGAAACCACTTTGTGGTTCCCTAAGTGCCTCAGTGCCAATGTTTCATTCGCTGTATGCGACAATAAAGAAATTTGTATCACAAAATTAAGCGAAAATGGCGTGAAACAGCAACACAATCGCGTGCACGTCTAAACCGAAACCAACCAAATTGAAGCAACCCCATGGCGGCGAGTGCGCCAGCGCCCTCTACCCGACGGTCAGGCAACTAGTGAAATGAAAAGGTCTATAGTTTCACACATCTGTGCGCTTCGACCATGTCTGCAGTCTCTCTTTTGTACGATGCATTTGCAGTGGGACTCTCGGCTTGAGGGCGATTAAAAGGGAGACCCACGACTGGTGTTCTGAGCGCCCTTGCGGGGCCATGACGCAGCATCTGAGGGCGACGCGGGAAGCGAAGCCCCCCAAAAATGTCCTTCCAGGCTCCGATAGTTTCTTGTTTGCGTTTTACGGCGTAAGCAACGTTCAGTCAGATACGGTACGCGTTCCCCCGTGCATTCGCGCTTCGCTTACATCAGAGAGACTTTGAGACTTCTGGTGAAAAAAAACAACAAAGATGCGAGCAATTTAAATGGCAAAAAAACAAGAAAGGAAGATAGGACGCGAGAGAGACGGAAGGAGGCGATGGACGGAGGGATAAATCAAGAAGTGTGTGTGTTGGGGCATCGGGGTTGCGGTTCGGAAGAGGAGGGGCGTCGTTGGAGCTTGACAAATCGGGGGGGGGGGGGGGGGGGGGGGGGGGGGGGGGCGCAATGTGGGGGCAAACTTGGAGGCATTTTTTCCTTCGAGGGAAGAGAGCGAGGAGGTGAGAAAGCCGGGGAGGGGTGTCGTCCCTCCCCGGGTCGTCAAGGCAACAGCTCGACGCAAGCAGTCGATCATAAAGTCAAACGCAGCCAAACGCAACTGTGTGGGCGAGCCTTTAGTGTGTACTTGCGCGAACAGGTCGCGCGGGGATATAGCCTAGCTGAAGGCTGGTTCACACAACACCATTTGCTTACCACTTTCTACGTACGAATGCCGCGTGCCAGACTAACTCTTAGAATGAAGCACGGATGAACCGGTGGTTTGAGGCTTAAGCAGACGTCAGTTTTCGTATCGTAAGTAAGGTAACGAGACGGGGCTTTGTGAACCAAACCTTCAAGGCGCAATCACTCTGCTCATACATAGCACAAAAGGCACAATGGTCGCAGAAGACATAATGGAAGAGTTCTCGAGAAGACGTACCTCAAGTATGTTCGAGGTGTGTTCGCTTCACTCGGGCATGTACGTTGCGAACTTGTCTGCAGGCATTCTTCAAGCATGAAATGCTTTTTTAACGGAACCCCAAACCTCTAATTTTTTTTTTTGCCGTCCTTGCATTTCCCGCTAAATCTGGCGGGGAAAGTGCATCTGTGTTTAAGTCACGTGACGGGCATTGAACGTCACGTGACCTGACGTGACACGACCTATAACCAATCCTGTTTCTCCTCTAAATTTAGCGGAAAATGTGCTGTCACATGAGCTGACGTCACGTAATCTATACACTAATTCAGTTGTCCCGTTTGATTTAGAAGAGAAAACATTTACGTAACGTGATCTCACATCACGTGACCTGTATAACAGTACACTTTCCCCGCTAAATTTAGCGGAAAATTTTACTTAACATGACCTGATGTCCCATGACCTCTACCCCAAATCAGTTTCCCCTCTAAATTTAGCGGGAAATCTGCCGTCACACGACCTGACGTCACGTGACCCACACGCTACTTCAGATGTCCCGCTCGATTTAGCGGGCAAAATTAACGCAACGTGACCTGGTGTCACGTGGACGATACGCCGACTCACTTTCACGCCAAATTTAGCGAGAAAAATTGACGTAACGTGACTTTACGGCACGAGGCCAATACAGAACTGGATGGAAGCTCCGAAGGACAGGGACAAAGTGAAAAAGGTAACGATCATACACGGAGCGCCTCCTTCACTTTGTCCCTGTGCTCCGGCGCATCTATCTAACCAACTAGCCCAAGTGAACATTTTGTTGCAACCTAAACAACACTACAGTTTCCCCGCTCAACGCTTTGGGGAATTTGAAAAAAAAAAAATAAAGGTTCTTCACTTCCCGAACTGACGGTTTAATGTCTTCCCACCTCTAAATAATTTTAAGCGATCGCACCGTACTGCATTTCATGCATAAAAGGACTCTGCGAATAAAGGTCGGTTCCATTGTTCTTTTTATGAATATTGTGACAGTAATTGAATACAAAGAAGAAACACGTCTCAGAGAATCTTTGCATACTGTCTGAAGTTTTGACAATGCTATAAACTACGATCTCAAAGATGGTAGTACACCCGGGGACACACATGAGTTCAAACGCCTGATCCGGCTTTTCTCTGCGTCTGCTGTCCTTTACGATGGAACCTCAAAATCAAATAAAAAACGAAGACACTTGGGGACAAGGACAGGCAAGCAGCACAGTTCTTTCAACTAGCAACGAACATTTACTGGTGCCTCCTTATACGCGTACATTCTCCCTCCCAACTTTTTAAATTGAGGAAGTTACATAAAAAAACACACGAAAGAAAGAAAACCCCGAAATAAAGGAACGAGAAAACGAAGTTGAGAAAAAAACTGAAAAAAAGACTAAAGAAGAAAATAGATAGAAGAAATTAACAAATAAGAAAAAATACTATTTGCAAATTTAATTAACTATCTGAAGCCAGAACTAAATTAGAAAAGTGGTTTTCTTTTCTCTTTTTTTTTCTTTTTTTGTGTTTTTTTTTTCGGGTGTTTTTAATGTATCTCCTTTAGCTTAAAACGTTGAGAGGGAGAATGTTCGCGTTGAAGGAGGCATCAGTAAACATTTGTTCATATAGGGGAAAGAACTGAGCTGTCTTTTTTTGTCCATAAATGTTTTATTATTCGTTTGGTTCTTGTATTTTCAGAAACCCGCTCTTCGTTCTTTGTTTATGCTACCTCAACTTCGCATTCCCTTCTTAGTTCGGCCCACAGTTCTTTCAATGCCTGGCAGGTACACCGAAAGAAGCGTTAAGGGCTGTTTCAGCTATTATTGTCCGCAATAGTACGTACATTTGACCTGACAAATACCGCAACAATCCTCGCCCTAGTGAAATGCAGTTCCAGGGTGACCACATAGATGTCGCCACGTTCCAGTATGTTCTCTCGTCGTTGGAGGTCACAAAAGCTCGGTCATAAGCAAAACGAAAGTGTGTGAACGGGCCTTTGGTGAGAGAGCTATGTTGCGAACTTTTGTCCAACCTCGATCTTCTACTGTTTCGCGGAACCTCGAAACTTTTGGAAAAAGTTTTTGACGATGAATGAGTGGATGGCTTTTAGCAAATCGGCACGTGATGACTTTCGAAAGGGTTCTTAAAGAGAGTTTCGTCTACACGCGCAGTGAGTACTCGGAGTTCTACGAGTGCACAGAGCGGAGTCTACGGGACAACTGCGGGGACCCCAAGACCATCGAGCACGTCCAGGACACGGTGTCCAACGTGGTCGGGGACCTGCTGAGTATCGTCTGCGGACGTTACCAGCGGGGCTCGGCAGACTGCCTGGCACTCGGCAAGCTGCCGCCGCTGCCGGCCAACCAGACTGTGCCCAGGAACCTGATCTCGCCGCTCAAGGCCATAGTGCGCTCTCTCGGATGATCGTCGCGAAGCTGAATAGACCGTTACGGAGTGACCGGCGCCGTCGGCACGCTCGTGACGACGAGAACGTTCGCAGAGAACGTTGGAGTACGACGTCGCAACCGCAGAACTCAGTTTATAAGTGGAAGCATAAAGGGTTTTAGAATAGGGGGTCTCAACGCTCGAATCCCCCGAGGAGCTTGCGGTGCCGCACTGCGCATGAGCAGTGCAGCGCCCCAAGCTGATCTGGGGACCCAAAGCATTGTGGCTGCTCAGGGGACCCAAAGCATTGTAGCGTCTTCTAAAACTTTCTGATAGGTGAGAAGGTCACGCAGAAGAAAACTACCGTTGTTGTTGCTGTTTTTTTTTTAATTTTTTATAATAGATTATTTTCAAAAGTGTGTGTCACCTAGCGGCTTCTGCGCCAAGTATCCCAGTCAATCAATGCTGGGGCACGCCCTCTGAGCACGTTTTGGTGAACGAAGCTTCGTCAGCGTTCGTCGTGAACTCGGCCCAGCTTTTATTGAGAACGAGTTCCAAGTGAGCGTTCGCCGAAATCTCGGATCCAATCACAAGCTCCCTGCCCGAGAAATTACGACCGCCATTGTTGCTTGATGGACTTAAGAAAAGGGTATATTGCGAAGACGGAAGCTATATGGCATTTTATAATGATAATTTGGGCGAATGTGGACTATGTGATGTGAAAGACAAGCTCGCTCCGAGTTTTCCTGCAGGACGATGCTTGAACTGTCCTCCCATTCGTTTTAATGACTAGATATACCTTTTTTTCATTCTTTCATTAATCAGATTACCCTCGCCCCGTGGCCTCGAACGCTGTCTGCTGCATTCGCTAGTGGGGTTTTTCTAGAATGCCGCAACAAGACTGTACGGAGTGCGGTCCCGTACGAAAATGTCAGATATGGCCCTGATATATTTTATATACGGCCAGATATGATAATATAAGCAGTCAAATAGGGCTGTATTTCGCCAGATATGGGAACTAATACGGCCGTATTTCGACATATAGGTGGGCAAATACTGCCAGATCTGGCCGTATAAGTGCGTAAATACAGGCATATATCACCATATACGCAGGCAAATATAGCCCCAGATAATGATATACGGGCCCGTTTCAGTTGTGGAAGCAACAAGTTATATGTACTCGCTGAGACACTAGTTGATTGATTTATATTGCATGAGTCTCATGCAATTGGTTAACTATTGTTAACATCCTTAAAGTGAAGTTATTCCAGATATTTGGACCAATTAATCAATTGCTCAATTTTAAGATTGAAAGACAAATGAAATTTGGTTGTATGTTTGATGTGTGCCAATATGACGTAGTGCGATCGTAACGCGACTTAATCAAACAATGGATTTTAGTCGCAGCTCTTAGGCACCCTTCCGAATTAAGCGGTGTTGGCGTCGCCATCGGTGTAACCGCCCCGTTAAATTTAGCGAAAAATTGAATTGGTACGTTAGTCACGTGACGTCAATTTTGCCGCGAAATCTGGCAGTGAAACAAATTTTTTTTTTCATATTTCCCCGCTAAATTGAGCAGGTAAACACGAACCGTTAGCTTACTCAAGATGCTAGACGCTACTTCGCCGTCCCGAATCCTTTTCCCTTCGAACGGAAGCCGTTGCGCCCGGGGTACAAAATGCAACTCTTTCAAAACCGTTTGCGCAGCATCATATCCGTTCGTTTGCGAGCGTCGGCGATTCATCGTGTGTTGAAAGTCGGAAGATGTGCTGTCCGTGGTGTCTTTTATTTGTAACTCGTTCGTAAAAAACTTTGAAACAGTGTACACATGATTTTAAATTTATTGGTAAACATATATATATGTATACATATTTATTTATTTGTCGACATCATGCACAAAAAAATAGTCGCGTTTATTTTTTATTTAAAATTATAATGTGGGCTATACAGCGTAAAACTCGCATCGTTTTGAGTTCAAAAGCTGGACATCGTAGAGCTCTATGTTCACTCGATATTGACAGCAGGGTAGATGCTACGCGTGTTTTAGGCCAATCATGTCTCCGGTTAGGGTCACGTGACTACAGTCCAGAATCTGGTGACAAAGCAGGACATCGCACCTGCCTGGCGCCCAAGGCCACACTTAGCATTCACAGCACTGTCAACCTTCGTTACAAGTGACACATCCCCTCGTTGCGGCCCCGTAAGATAAGCCTTTTGTTCGTGAAACCCCGTTTTGGCCTCTCCCTTGATCCTCCTCTCTCTCTCCCTAAGCTGAAAGCGTTGTAAAAGTTGAGTGGTCACGTGGTTTGAGGGATGACGCATTAGCCGTTCCCGATCTCGGAATGCGTTTAGCCGGACCTAGTTTGGCGTGTGAATTCTCCATCTGTGGCTGCTGCGTATGTCTGGTTCTGCAAGCGATTTCTTCAAAGAAGCCCAAGAATGTTTTGTGATCTGTTTAGTGTTCGGTTCTACAAACGACAGCTTGTGCTACATCGTGTTGAATCTTCAAGGGCACCTTCGCGTTTCTTTGTTCGAGTGGTGGTTTTGCCGTGGCCGTGTCGACATCTCCCTTGGATAACACCTTCGTCTCGTCAACGTAAGTGCGCTGCAACCTACTTCGTGACAATAGATCGTTTTTCCTAAATGTATTCTTCCAGGTTACCTCTAGATTTAGGCCGTGTCTATCTCCTGGCAGCCGGGAGAATCATGGTGCAGAATGTTTCGGCATTAGTGCGATTGCGCTGCAAGCAGAAAGTTTTGATATGCCGCCGACAAAGTTTTGACGTGTCGCCGAAAAAGAACAGAAACAGAGACTCTTAATTACGGGTTCCAAAATTTGACGAGTGGCTTTACGAGTCGCTTGTAGAAAGATTGTGACGATTTTGCGAAATACTGGTAAACAATGCTAAGTTACCGTCCTAATCTAAACCCTGGGATGAGAATAAATCAAATAACGGACAACTCTCATTGACTCAGGCTTTATATTATGATGTTTCCTAACCGGCATGCCAAGATACTTTCGCTCCTTGCAAGGGTTACTGTCTCGCGGACGGCACCAACCGATCCCCTGACGGCGGCGTCTCGGCGAACTTGCACACGGGGCCGCCGCCGACCGATCGCCGTTATCGGCGTTATGTAACGATAGGCACAGGACATCTACTCCACAAATGGGCAAAAACGGATGCAAAGGCGTGCGCGAACGTAAACAACGGTAGAAAAGTGCCGTTGCTCGCCGCTATGAGATGCGTGCCGCTAAGTCGGTCATCCGCGGGCGTATCCCTCTCCTCCCGCTTGTACTTTCTCTAACTTGACGGACACTCTGTCTCGCGGTTCATGCCGACGAAACGATCGTTGCGATACCGGGTAATTGCTACAGCCGAGCGCAGCACAGTTTACCATTGCTTCCGCTGTGGAGGGTCGAAGAGTCAACTACCAGCATAAATACCGTTTTTTTTATGTTTTTTTTTTTTGTTCTTGCAGATTTGTTTAAAAAGAAGCCGTGAACGCTGCACTTATGCGGTTTGTGCGAGAGTGATACGCCCAGGGGGACGTTATGTAGTCTGCTAATCTTTGCGATAAGTCGGGTAATTAATTAAAATTCATTAATTAACTTTTAATTAGTGAAAATAGACATATGGTTTCAATTAGAAACTTGCTGAGTGTCGTCCAAAACCCCTAAACCAGTAATTTTTAGAAAGACTGAGCGCGTGTGAAGCGCAGTAGTGCGCTGAAGTTACCACTCGTGGACCAGGTACAAGGCTGGGCTAGATAAGAGACAGAAAAATTGCGGGGCGCCTTACCGAAACCGCTAGCCTTGTACCGGCTTCACGAGTGGTACCTTTAGCGCGCTTCTCACGCGCTGAAAGACTTTCTGAAAATGACTGATTTAGGGATTTTGGACGACGCCCCACTAGCTGCTTATTGGAACCGTATGTTTATTTTCACTAATTGAAAAGTTCATTAGTGAATTTTAATTCATTAGCCGAGTAATCGCACAGCTTAGCGCCCACGTATATCCCCCTTGGCGTATAACTCACCCGCAGAAACCACATAAGTGCAGCTTTCCTGAATTTTTTAAGAACAAATCTGCAAGAATAGAAAAAAAAACAAAAAACACCCTGATATGGGAGGCAGATATACCCCTATTTGGCAGACCCCGATATGGTTATATAAAAAATTGGGCAGATCTGGCTATATAAGGCTTATATAAACTGATGTGCTTGATATGGCCAGATCTGCCCAATTTTTTATATATCCATATTTGTCTTTTTTTATATAAGTCCAGATCTGCCATTTTCGTAAGGGGTGCTCTGTTGTCATTGTGACACAATCGTTACGACTACGGTCGTCTCAACGTTTCTTCGTGTCCGCCAGGCAATTACGACAAAGCGACGTGAATGACTCGCACAATGCCTCAAAGATATATTCGTGAAATAACTGCGTTAAGGCTCATTAATGGTGTGAATAATGTTGAACGTCTGAAAGGCTTGTTGAGCGATGCTCGCTGATCGCTCAAGGACGCCAATTCGTCTTGCCCTGCCTTTCGTTTCCCCACTCTCCAGGGTTGAACAAAGTCACGCCGTACACTTTAGTTGATACTGGCGCCAAGACTACAAAAGCGAGAGCAAAAGAGAACGGATTTAAGATGTCCGTTGGCAGAACAAGCGCTCGCACTACAGAAACTTCGTTTCACCTTAGAACCAATCGCAGCGGATGCTAGGAGCAACCGTAGCCAATCCGAGTCCGCGCGACTGTACCCTGATCTTGGAGGGAGTGCAGCGGGGAACGTATCACGTGCTACATTCACGGAACTAGATTGGCTGGAACGGCTCGTAGCATCCGCTGTGGTCACAAGTAAGGTGAAACACGTATCAAAGGAAGCAGCGAGGGCTTGTTCGCGCTTGTAGCTTTGAGTGGGCTGCAGTCCCAGCTTAAGGTTCCGGTACCACGGCGGTCGTCTCGAACGGCTACAGGACGGTGTTTAATTTATGAGACAAATATAAAATAAACACTCACAATACCTTTCCTAACTTGTTACC